AACAACAGTAACTTTGGTTAAAATAAAAAAGTCTTCTATGTAGGCAGAGCTTTGTCTTTTCAAATAGGGTGGGGTCCTGAGGGAAGCAGGTGAGGATGAGGAACAGAAAGGTGTGAGGGATTGGGGGTGGGGAGAGACTTTCCCAAGGGAGAAGCTGGACAGCACAGGGTAAACTGGATTCTGAGGTGGTTTTGCATAAATAAAGGGCAACAGTCAGTTTCTAAGTTCTCCACACACTCACACACACACAGGGAGGGGAGGTGTCCCACGGCTGTCATGACTGGCCAATCAAAAACAGTACATCACAAATGACTTGTGAAACCAATGAGTTCATCAATGGTGACACCGAGATGTCCAACAGCCGTGACTCATAGAGAGTGAACTCTGAGTGGTTCTCGTCCACCTTGGCCAGGGCAAGCAGCGCACGGGCCGCCCGCCGCATCATGTCCACACTAGTTGGTTCAAAGGGTGGGTTCTGCATGTGGAGGAGGCTGGCCTGGCTCTGCTGGAACTGTGTGGCAGCAAGGCTGTCCTCTAGGAAGCCCAGGAGGTTGCCGATGCTGCCCTTCTGCACTGCAATGGCCCGGGCTGCCAGGCTGTCCCCCTGTGCCAGATTGGCCAGCAGTACCACGGCCATCTCCCGGCACACTGGGTTCTTTCGGTCACTGAGGAAGCGCACCATGGTACTATACAACTTCTCCAGGCGGCTAAAGGGGGGCGTGGCCAGTATCAGGTCCACATTGTTGTCCTGGATGCTGAGTTTGCTGAGGGTTTCCAAGACCAACCTCTGGGGAGACAGGACGGCATTGGGGCCGAGGGTGGAGAAAGGGTCCTGGGCTTCAGCTGAAGGGCAAACTGCCCAGTGTAGGAGTCCGTCCAGCACAGGCAGGCAGATGCTCTCAGGGTACGGGGATAGGTCCAACTGCCCCGAGATGTTGGCAAGGGTGACCAGCGTGTTTTCCCGGAGCATCTCCAAGCAGTCCCACCACCACTCCACTTTGTCACAGCTCACCCCTTGGTCCTGTTCCTCCTCCTTCTCATAAGTTAGTGGCGCCTGCTTCCGTTCTGGATGCTTGTGGTGCAGTAGGATCAGCTTGCCCAGGATAAGCAATAGCCCCGGGTGTTTGGACATCTCAAAGTCGTTGCCTGGCACAAATGACAGGCTGCGGATGGTATTAGAGACACAGACACAGCGCTTAGCAAGGGAATCCTGCCAGTCCAGAAGGGTACACAGTGGGGTCTCATCCTTACTGTGGGGTTCATCCTCTAAAATCTTAATGTTCCGGTGGCTCTGTGCTGGGCTAATGCCAAATGGAAACTTGCTGCTTTCCTTGGTGGCCTCTGCACTCTTTGTTCCCTCATCAGTCAACGTGCTAGACCGGGTGGACAACATGTCATCCATAGTGGCTGTGATCCTTTTCTCTGGAAGGCCATCAGGCGGGGGCCCCTCCTGCTCCGCTGTCCCTTGTGTACCCTCTATTGTTGTAAGGTGTTTCCGAGGGGGCGTTGGGCAGGGCATATAAGGCCGGGAAGGCAGCAGCTCTACCTTGCTTTCAAAGTGGGTCTGGATATGCTCAGTGGTATCCCCACCACCAATCCGCCAGTGCAGCAGGCCACTGTCAAACTCCTGCACCCGCCCAAGCTTATCTGAGCAGTCTACCACAAATGGGTCGTTCTTCTGTACAATCTTCACCGGAAGCTTGTCAAACTTACTGACTAGCTTCTCCTCACTATTCTCTGAAGCTGGCTTGTCCTTGCCTAAGAAGGCCAGCTCCTCATCATTTTCAACCACTTCCCCCTCCTCCTCCAGTTTAGGTTCTAGGAGATCTTCCTCTTCCTCCTCTGTGGGGGATGGACTAGACACCTTGCTGAATCTCCCAGGGTCTAGCAGTGTTCTCTGTCCTGGGTCCCCCACCTCATACTCCTTTAAAATGCCAAAGATCTCAATCAGGCATCGACGGAAATATTCCACAAGGAGCTCTAGCAACCCTGGGAGCTGAAAGAGAGAGAAAATGAAATGAACCAAGGGAAGAATCCATGACCCAAGAATCCCCAAGCTCTACCCAATTTTCTTTCTTTTGAGGTAAAGCTGCTCCCTCTCTAAAAGCTTCTGTTCCAGCAGACTGTGCGTCTTCATTTCTCCCATACCATTTCCCTCTCAAAGAATGAGAACAAAGCTTTCTTTTGCCCAAACAATGGTCGCATAAGCCTGCCCCAGCAGGCTGCAAATGTTAGCCACCCATCAGTACCACCCAATACCTTTAAAACTCTTCTTTCTGAATGTATGTTCTGCTTTTCACCAGGATCCTGGCCAATGTCACTGCCCCTTTAAAGTGGTCTCTATATACCATGGCCATATGGAGGCTAAGTCTAAACATGCTGGGATGACCCCTCCCAACACAAACTACAAAAGGGGGTGCACTGTCAACAGATGATCATCTAATCTCCAGTTAAGATTAGCATTTGGCTGAATTCCTTCCATCCATTTGATTTTTAGAATTAGGCCTTGGTTTGAATATTGCCTTTCCTAGAAATTAGCTATATAAAATGATAAAAAGAAAAAAAAAAAATCCCCAACCGGGCGTTGATGGCCCACACTTTAGTCCCAGCACTCGGGAGGCAGAGGCAGCCTGGTCTACAAGAGCTACTTCCAGGACAGGCTCCAAAGCCACAGAGAAACCCTGTCTCGAACCCCCCCCCCCAATAATCCGTAAACTTCATAAAGTTGTTCTATCATATGAAAAATAATGAAAATTTATTTCTTTACATTCTTGTAGCCAGCAATATTATTCAATGGAAACACTCGTGCTCTGGGCAGCAGTGTCGAATCACAGATGTAATCCCAGTTAAGGGCTAGTCTGGGTTTATACAGTGGTAGGTGCTAGAGAGATGGCTCAGGAGGTAAGAACTGTGGCTGTTAAAAATTGCAACTCTAGATCCAACACCCACTGCAGCCTCAATAAGCACCAGACACACGCACACGAAACACCCCTCAACCTCATAAAAGAAAACTAAAGTTTGCAATGCCTTCTTTTATTTAGGAGTAGAAATAGGAAAAAGAAAAATATAAAAAAAGTAACTTCTATGATCATTGACACAGATAACACAATGCTATTCCTGGTAGATTGGAAACATCCCAAGTAGTCTATCTTCCTTTTTTTCTGTCATCATCATCATCATCATCATCATCATCATCATCATCATCATCATCATCATCATCATCATCTTACATACAGTGCCCCATATATCCCAGGTTGGCCTCACACTACCTAGGTAAACAAAGACGACTTTGAACCTCTGATCTAAGAACACACCTCCCAAGTGCTGTGACTGTGTGTGTGCCACCACACCTGATTTATGTGGTACTGGAAGTCTATCTCTGGGTCATGCACTTCATCTAAATTACAATCCCAGTCTCTAGTCTTGAATTTCTTTTTAATTAAGCTATAAATAAAATGCTTTAGTGTGGGAATTTGTGGCACATGCCTTTAATCCCAGCACTGAGGAGGCAGAGGCAGATGGATTTCTGTGAGTTCCAGGCCAGCATAGTCTACAAAGCAAGTTCCAGGAGTACACAAGAGAAATCCTTGTCTTGAAAGAGAAGATAAAAATCAATAAAAGCAAGCAAGCAAGCAAGCAAGCAAGCAAGCAAGCAAGCAAGCAAGCAAGCAAGCAAACAAGAAGTATTATGGGTAGAGGGGAATGCCACTACACAAATCATCAGAGTACGAATTTTGAGGAGTCAGTTCTCTCCTTATACCTTTACATGGGAACCGAACTCAGTCTCTACTGGCAAGTGCCTTAGCAGTTGAGCCATTTTTCCCCCCCTTGGAGACAGGGTTTCTCTATGTACGGTTGGCTGTACTCACTCTATAGTCAAGACTGGCCTAAAACCATAAATCTACTTGTCTCTGCCCCCAAGTGCTGGGATTAAAGATGTGCACTACCACTACTGAGCTATCTTGCTGGATTCTTACCACGAACAAAGTTTCTCCCAGTTGAGACTAGCATTTTTAAGAAGAGGGAGGCAGATAGATCTCTGTGAGTTTGAGGCCAGCCTGGTCTACATAGTAAGTTTCAGAATAGCCAGGGCTACACAGAGAAACTCTGTCTCAGAAAACAAAAACAAAATAAACTCCCAGCTGAGCTTGGAAGCTAGGGAGGCTAAGACAGAAGAACCACGAGTCTGAGGCCAGCCCAGTACAAATAACTTAGTAAGACCCTGTCTCAAAACCAAACCAAACAAACCTCAACAAGACTTGGAACAACAACAAAACCCAAATAACAACCTTGTTCCCTAATAAAATTCCTTTTGAACTTAGTCTTACACCAACAACTCATGTAAATTATTACTGTTCCCACGCTCAGTGTTAAGGGAAACAAAGGATAAACAAAGATTTCCAGCAAAGTGACAAATGTGTTAGCTGAGGATGGCTTCATTCTTGTTGTCACTTTGTATTATCTACATCAAGAATATCCCAGGCTTCTCCCACCTCACCCAGCAATCTGTACTCACCTGACTGAGGCTGAAGGTCATGATGCTGTTGTCATCATATAGCAGGATGTTAATGGTGTCTAACGCCCACGTGCTCTCTGCCAGGAGCCCAGACTTGAGGGACATCATTACCCGCCATGCCTCCGGGGTTCCTGAAATAAACCTCTGTGTTGTTCATCCACCAAGCCCCAGCTGGCTGGAAGTACCCCAAGGCTGTCCCACTAGTCAGGCTATTGGGCCTTCATTGCTTCTAAGCTGTCTAGGACACCAGTATGTGGCAGAGATAAAAGGAAAACCTGAAATCAGCTTATTTCTTCCACCCTTCCAATTCTTTTGCACTACTTCAAGTAACACGGTACCTGATTTAAGCACCCCCAGAATCTCAGGGTGGAGGGAACCATGTGAAAGATGCAAAGGGGTAGTAGATTCATTCAGCCACCCAATCAGGGAGCTCTCCTTACCAATGTCTTTCATTGTGAGCCGCCTTTTCTGCTTCAGCACAGGCTGTGTGGCCTCAACGGAACCAGGTGGAAAGGTAATATCCCGCCGAATCATAGGGGGCTGCACAGGGGCAGGCGCTATGTGTGAAGCAGGCACCGGTGGGCCTGCCTTCTGCATTTTCATCCCAGAGTGCAGGAATGGAGACTTGCTAGGAGAGGTACGGTTCTCCATTGGCCGGGGTAGGGGAGCGGGGCTGGATACCTGAGGAATGTGATTCTGTATGCTTGGTGGGGGCTGGTAGTTAGATGGAGAGGGTCTTGTCATGGGGGGAACAGGGGCTGAAGGACCATATGGAGGCTGGCGTGTGCCATGGGAAGGCCATGGGCCTTCATGGTTGGCCCTCTGATCTGTGTGGAGCATTTCGTCTGTTCGGTTCACACCATGATAAGCAGCACTCTGGGGGGCAGAGCCTGTACTCTGCCTGTTGGCATAATTGTAGGTCATGTCATTACGCCCCTGCCACATGGTGCCTTGCTGAGCAACCTCAGCTGATGACTGCATAGGACCGCCCATCATTTGTGGTGGCATGTTCTGCTGGGCATTGGAACCAGGAGGTGCAGAGACCCGGTCTCGGCCAAACTGGAATGGAAATTGGTTCTGGGGGCCGCCTGCTGGTCGGCGCTCAGTAGCAGCGGTGGCAGTAGCAGGATAGGCATTGCTGTACTGGTTGTACACATCTTGCTGAGGGGAAGGCTGGGCAGCTTGTTGCTGGCTGGCAGACTGGGACTGGGCTGTAGGCAACTGTTGCTGTTGAGGCTGCCCCTGCCCAGTGCTGTATGGCACACTGTACATCTCCCCTTCGTGACGCTTGGCAGGAGGACCATATGTACCATCCATCGGCCTCTTATAATTCTAAGACAGAGAAAACAGAGAGCAAATTAATATCGTGTATTCAGTCACAAAAGTCACAAGTGCCATGGATGGCTCCCATTATATACAAACTCATTTTTCTTTTGCCCCCTTCAAAGACAGGACACAGATACCAAGAGAACAAAGGAAACACCTTTGCAGATTATCTTTTGAAGCAGTTTCTGAGAAAAAAAACACTATTTCCTCTTCTACGGTTTTCCCTCCAAATAGAAAATTACACAAAACCTCAAACCAAAAAAATAAAATCAATTTCTAGCCCACTCTACTTTTTTTTGAGACAGGTTTTCTCTGTGTAACAGCTCTGGTTGTCCTGGAACTCACTCTTTAGACCAGGCTGGCCTTAAACTCACAAAGATCTGCCTGCCTCTGCCTCCTGAGTGCTGGCACTTAAAGGCGTGCACCACAAGTGCCTGGCTAGCCCTTTTATAGAAAAGACAGACTTGACAAACAGGGAGGACACTGAGGTCTGATTGTCTAGTTAGAACTGCCTATTTGGGCAAGAGGAATCCCAAGGTAGGAGACAGAGTGAATCTTACAGACATGGCTGCTCACTGCTTTCCAGAGGAGCCTGTGGGCAGTGCACCCCCAGCTATCCTTTACTTACCTGCTGCTGCTGCTGATAGAGTGTGGCCTGCTGGCTGGGGAAGGGACTGCTGGAAGGGGTGCCTTGGGTGGAAAACTGATTGCCATAGGAATCATGTCTGCAGAAGACAGAGTGGGGTCAGGGCAGAGAATCACAAAAGCTGAGCCAACAGTGGCAAAGGAACAAGGATTCACTCACCGTTGCTGCTGCTGCTGCTGCTGCTGCGGGGGGTAGCGGCTAGGAGAATACATCCCCGAGTCTGCTGTGGAAGGCATGAGATTTGGCTGGGGGGCCCCAGTGCCCATATTTCCTTCAGGCCCAATTCCAGGCTCCGTCCTACACAAAATTGGAGAAGGGAATTGAGTACACTATAGCTTCATGGCATCAAGGGCAGGGCAAATGTAGAGGCTTACCTCACTCTGTCGTAAGGACCTCCATAGGGATAGTGCTGTCGTGGTCCCATAGCCACATTTCCCAGCCCAGGGCCAGCAGCACGGCTGTAGGGGTCACCCATGCCACCATTGGGGCCCTGCCCTGAGGACATGAAGGGATCACTTCCTGGAGCTGAGTGTAGAAAGGACGGAAATGAGAAAACTGGCAGGCTGGCAGGGTAGGGAAGCAATACAAGGCCTGTCCCAAAGTTCCAGGCTTGCCTCAGAGCATGCATGGCTTGTTCCTATTGCTCTCCTGACAGGCTTATTGGATAAACATAATGCCTCAAGAGTGGCCAGGTAAAGCAAGTAAGAGAGTTGTTAAAAACAAAACAAAACACAACACAAAAAAAAAGGAGGACAGTGGCTCAGGATGTTGCTCAGTGGTATAATGCTTGCTGAGTACATGGGATTCCCTGGGATCATACCAGGATCATACCTGGGATCCCTAGCATCATACCAGGATCATACCTGGGATCCCTGGGATCATACCTGGGATCATACCAGAATCATACCTGAGATCCCTAGCATCATACCAGGATCATACCTGGGATCCCTGGGATCATACCAGGATCATACCTGGGATCCCTAGCATCATACCAGGATCATACCTGACCCCTAGCATCATACCAGAAAGGAAGGAGAGGAAGGCAGGCAGGGAAGGAGGGACAAGTATTGCAGAGAAGAACCTCAGAAGCGACCTCAGCAACACCACCAAGCCAGTCATGCTCCCTCATGGCCCAAGCATAAGGCCAACAACACCCAACAGTTGGTCACCTTTCCTCATGCTGCCATAAGGATCCTTATTTGGCTCATAGGACATGCGTCCCATCATGTCGGAGGTATTCATACTGGGCTGGTACCCAGGGTTTGGAGTCATGGAATTCCGCTTCTGGAATGTGGGGTCACTTCCATCAGGAAAGGCATCCTGGATTCCAACTGAGTTGCTCCTGCTCCAGAGTGAGGAAAACTAATGAAACCCCCAGTAGACCAATTCCTCATCTAAGCCAAGAGACACAGGAGTCACTAGCTAGGCAGGTAGAGGCAAGCACTGTCCTTGGATTACACCCGAAGACACACTCCCAAATTCTATTCCTGTTCATGGGCCTTACCTCATGCCTGGTAAGGGGGGAATCTGACTGTGTGGTGTAGAGGCTGGAGTTGGAGGCTTCAGATCTCCTCCTTCTGCCATTGAACTGCTGGTTGACTGAGGAGTTTGTGGTCCCTGCATAGATCCCGATCCCGCTGCGGACAGACATGCAGAGTAAACAGTTTACTTGCTAGAAACATATTTAACTCTCACAAAACACTAATGCTGTAGAATCTGGGTGTGCACATATGTATGAGTCTGTCTTTCTTTTGAGACAGGGTCTCATACTGTGTAGTGCAGATTGGCTGGAACTTGTTCTCAGCCTCCAGAGAGCTAGGATTGACACTGTATCTGCCATCCTAGGATCTCTCTGGAAGAGATTTTCCTAAGGACAATAAATCTTTGAGCAGTCTTTTCATAGCTGGTGATCTAAAAGGCCAAGTCATAAAGAGGGGGATGGGTTTTGTCACTTATGTAGGCATGCATGCCTTGATACAATGCTGGCATATAAAAGTCCACATTTGAGAACTGCATAATTGAGCTATAATGAAGAAACACACACCCTCTTTACTATTATTTTATCTTTGGTTGCATTCATAGCTTAGAAATGAAAAGACAATGAAGCCATATTTCACCATGCTAGGTCATTAAGTCACAGGTAACTTCCTCACTGCCTTGCTTTTCTTTCCAAGGAACTTGTCTAATGGTAAGCACCACGATGATGGTGGAGCAAAAACTGAAATCTAGGATGCAGAGGAGCCACATGGCCAGAGCCTAGATGTTTTTTTTCCTCTATTAAGCACCCAGTCCAATGTCATCCTTAGGTTCCAATGTTCCTCTAAAGAGACAAGCACAGAATATCCAATAATTAATGTTTTCATTAGTTAGTTTCCCACTACTGAGGCCTCTCCAGCTGATGAGTCATCTCAGGAATACACTCCTCTCTCAGAGGTCAACAATGTGTTTACATCTACCTTCTGGGGTCCATGCTAACCTAGGCCCCACCTCCTCTGAGAAAGGAGGTTAGGCAGAAGAAGCATAACCTCATCATAAAGTCCATTCATATCCCCTTCCTACCCCTCCCTTCCATTCATTACTGTCTCAGCTCTCTGGGGAATTTAGGGCTCTTTTTCTGAGCTGCATTCTAAGGCACTGACATCAGCAGGCCAAAGCTCCCAGATGGCCCAGCCACACTGCGATTTGTCAGTTTTCCCTCACTACTCTGGTGTCCCTCCCACTCACTAGTTTACAAACATTTGGCAAGATGCCAGGTGTACAACAGGAAAATTAGAAAGTGAAAACTTAAGGCTTCTGCATAGCACCTCCCAAGGGAGTCGCCACTGCTGCTCTTTAGTCTGCCAACCTGCTAACCCACGTGGATGGGTAAAACACACATCTCTGGCAACTGCTCTGCTCCCTGGAGGGAGGGAGGGAGGCACCACTGCTTAAGGAACCCTGCAGGCTCTTAAGGATACCATCCTTGGGGGTGCTTGTCCACTCTTACCAGGAGAGGGAGGCTGGATCTTGGGCTGGGACTTCTTGGAATCAGCAGCTGCAAAAATGTCTGGGGGAGGGTCTTCTCCCCGTTCGATCTTGCACTCAAAGGCGTAGAGACACTGGATGTATTGCTTCTTCAGGGAGCTGGCTGCACTGCTTGATGTACCCACATTGAGGTTGGTTGCAAGTTCCCGCCATTTCTTGTTCTTGTTGACCTGTAAGACCACCAGAAGAGTCAAAGTATACTCTGACCTGGCCTTCCAACGCACAAGCTATGAGCCCAAGCTGGTTGCTGCAAGAAACATATAGTTCCAAGTAACTGCAGGTACACTGCTTATTCAAAAGGCAATCAGGGACATTGGTGGCGCATGCCTTTAATACTAAAACTCGGGAGGTAGAGGCAGGCAGATCTCTGTGAGTTTGAGGACAATATGGTCTGCAGAGTTCCAGAGCAACCTCCAAAGCAATACAGAGAAACCCTGTCTCAAACAACAAAACAAAAAATATAAAAAACCAACAAAAGAACAGGGCATCAATACCGGAACAGAATTCAGCATATGGTCTTTATCTCCAACCCTCACCCCCTCATTGACTCTGTCAGGCTAAGGTTTTTACATGGCTGCCTTCCTTCAGTGTAAGGGTGACAACTAAAGTCGGTTGGTTCACAGTTCTGCCCCTATCTCCAGCCCCAGCGTACATTGACCAAATCCATTTCCCAAGTGTTCCTTCTAATTTGACCTGTGCTGCCTGGACAGGTTTCCACTGATTATTCTTAAACATGATGGCAAACTTAATCTATCTAGTGCTAAGAACACTGATATTGAAGTCCGATCCAAAGAAAGACCATTGGGTTATGATATCAATGCTAGCTGCAAATCCATAGTTTAGGGAAACAGAGAGGAGACTGAAGGGAGGTAACCAACAATAATCCTTCCTGAGGTGGTTATGGTGAGTGTAACAGACATCTAGGCTGTCTGGTGTAATTCTGCACATCCACCCTCACCCACCCACGTCACCTGGTTGAGTCTACTGGGATGGCCCCCTTCACTGATCAGTCAGAAGAGCTCAGGGCTCAGTCTTGCCTTTCTCAGCTCTTCACTTAAAGACAGTTCTCATTGATTTTAGAATACAATTAGTTAATTACTTAACAGCAACTAAAAAATTCCCCTTTCAGCCAGTTGGTGGTGGTGCATGGCTTTAATCCCAGCAACTTGAGAGAGGCAGAAGCAGGCAGATCTCTCTGAGTTAAAGGCCAGCCTGGTCTACAGAGTGAATTTCAGGACAGGCTTCAAACAAAGCTACAGGGAAACCCTGAAACTGTCTTGAAAAAACAAAACAAATTTTCTTTTCAAATTGGAATACAAGCTTAGGATCAGAGATTCCTTCTACAGCTTGTCCTGTGTTCAGTGAGTTCGGGGGTCCAATAGTCAGAAGAAAGGCAAAGTTACTAAGTAAGCAACCAACCCTCCTTACCATAAGCAGCACACTAGGCCTAAGAGTTAGGAGGAGGAATGCATCCTGTATCACCTCAGCAGCCCCAAGCAGGTTTGCTCCCCACTTCAGTTATATGGCAGTTTGCATATGCCTTTGGGGAGGGTGTGGGGGAGGTGACCGAAGCCTTAAGGGAGAAGGAATTCATAACTGACTGTTAGCCGGCTTCTTTCCCCCTAGTGACACCTGTGTTCCTTTTCTGATTTAGGTATGGAATACACCTCTCCCTTTCACAGGCTCTCCCATCCCCACCCAGGAATTTCTGGTCTGGACAATAGAGACAACTCCTCTGAAGAAAAGTATGTAAGGGTACACTATCAGTCAGTGAGTGTAGCCTCACCAGTGTCTCTAGCCGAATGCAAATAAACCTGCAAGTACACAACACGACTGAACCATTCTCAAGTCTTTTTATACTTTTGTCTCATATATAAAAGTATACTTTTATACTCATATTTTATACTTATATGTCTAGTATAAAATAATTAGACATATAAGTTTTCACAGCTCTACTTCCTCAATAACTACTCTGAAATTCTACCTCCCCCAAGACGTTTCTTGAATTCAAAGGGTGAATGAATCTGCCTGGAGTGCCAACTTACAGACCAAGTAATTTGGTGGGGCCCTTGCTGAAGCTTTCCACTCATTATTTCTAACACTTGGCAGGGCGGAAGGTTCCATGTGGTGCCTGTTTTACCATCAAGAGAATTAAAGCTCATATGGTTTGTAGAACTTGGTTAGGCTCACATGTTTCAGCCTGTGGGATGCATGATCCCATCAGAAGCCAGTGGACAGTGCTTACCTGAGTCAGTCCACCAATCTCCTTCACAGACACATAGAGGCGATAGAGGTCCAGAGGCTTCCTGCCCACAGCGGGCAGGTTCGTCATACCCATGGCCTTCTCCTCTGTGAAGGCCAGGTATCGGTCCACCCACATCTTCCTCTCTGGCTCGCCACCCAGCTCATACAACTTGGTGATCTTCTCATTGGTTGTAGTAGAAGAGCTGGATTTCTGAGGAAAGGGTCAAAAATTAAAGTCATCAAAGCCAAACACAATGCATATGAAGGGTGCCAGAGACCCCTTCTTCTCTGTCCCCTCCCTTTAAGAGAGCAAGTCTTCTAAGAGCCCAGAGCTGGTGGTGGAATGTTCCTGCTTTGGTCTCTTAGATGCTGGGATTATATCCCAGAAGTTACTGGCTTTATAAAAATCACAATTACATTAGTCGTTTCTTGTATGTAGGTATGTCTAGGGCTTGCAAGACCAGAGGAGGGACATTGGGCCAATCCCCTGGAGCTGGAGGTGCCATGTAGGTGCAATTTAGGGGAATTGAACTCATCCTCTGAAAGAGCAGCCAGTGCTACTGACCACTAAACCACCTCTCCAGCCCCTAATTAAGTTTTTTTTTTTTTAGGCAGCCCTGGGTGTCCCGGCACTCACACTGCAGATCAGGCTGCCTCAACTCAGAGATCCACCTGCCTCTGCCCCCGAGTGCTGGGTGTATGCCAAGCTCTTCACTATCAATGCTGTTTTGTTTTTGTTTTTTAAAAAATCAGGTTTATTTTTTAAAATGTATATAGGTACTAGGTATGGTGGTACACACCTTTATCCCAGCACTCTAATAGTGATGTCCAGGACAGCCAGAGCTACATAGTGCAACCCTGTCTCAACCCACACCACCACCAAAACAGATAAAAAACAAGCTAGGGGCTCATCTATTTCTAGAGGACTGGCGTCTGGTTTCTAAGTAGGTGGCTCACAAGTCCCTAGCTCCAAGGGATCAAACACATGTTCTTCTGGCCTCCATGTACACGTGAGCACACACGCACAAGCCTAACAGCACACCTAGATCCAACCCTACAAGATGGTCAAGAACCCAAATCCCCACCTGTGTCACTGGCCCCACTGAAGAATTGTGGCACCAACCATTTTTGCTGCTCTGAGTAAAGAGAAGAGTAGCTAGTTGCCTACAGTACAAATTATCACCAGTGTGTAAGTATAGGAGGCTAAGCTTCACACAGAGATTTCTATGCAGTGGTGTCTGGTACTTTCTCTATAACGTGGTATTGTCAGTATGCTGTTATTTACATGGAAATCCTATAGGTATCTTCAAACAATTGCATAAGCAGTCATTCTAGGATTCTTATTAATAGTAGGGGGCAATGGAAATTTTTTAGACATATTAGTGTCATAACATTGTAAAATCTTGTCATTCTCTTTCATTTTTCCTTCTTTTTGTTCAGTGAAGGAGTTAAGACACAAATCAGAGACGACTCAAGACAAAAATCATTACCTTAGATTTGGATTCTGTCTTGGGTGTCCCATCTGCCTTGTTGTTCATTTTTGTGGCTGGAGTTAACTTAACATCCCCAAGGCCCATCATCTCTGGGCTGGCTGCCATCCCTGAAAAAAAGAAAAAACATTCAAGTCCAATAGATTTTGCTACAACTTGAAGTTCATTCTTGAAGAAATCTCTGGGAAAAGCAATGACTTATCTTACCTGCTGAATTGTTGGCCATGGTCCCACCCATAGGATATGGGGGTCCCTGAGGGTTGATCATCCCAGCCATACTGTTAATCCCCTGTCCATAAGGAGGTCCAGTTCCCATCATGCCCCCTTGATTCATATTTGGGTAGCCTGGTGGTCTAAGGAAGAAGATGGAAATTAATACAAGGTAAGTTAGGTCAGATTTGGGCATGAGCTAAAGAGTTATGTGATCATTTAATTACAGTAGGAAAGTCAAAGTCTCTCAAACCAGACTCGGGCCACATCTAGTTATTTGTCCACTATCCACAAACAGTTCAAGGAAGGTTTGAGCTTTGTTATAGCAAACACTAGCTTAGTCTGAAGGGGCAGAATCCTTGGAGAATAAAGTGAGCAACCTTTAATGTTGCTATGTTTCTATTCAAAGGCCCTCTGAATGGCAAAAGGCCTAATATATGCTCAATTTTAACACTTTCATTTGACATGCTAAACAGCACAGATTCAACTCCAGCATTTTCTTTCACACCATCCCTTTTCTTGTCCAGACTATAGACCTAAACCAACATACCTAGCTGTACATATAATACTTTCCCATGTGAATTTTTACTCTAGAATCCTTAAGAATTATGTGTGTGTTTAAACTGTGAGTGCTCTGAAGAGCTCTCAATAAAATATATGTACATGCTTCTATGCATACGCAAACAACACACTGCTTTAGGATCAGAACTGTGAATGGACTTCACTTCCCAGGTCTTACCTGTTTTGGATAGAGTTGGCTGCAACATGCATGGCAACAGCAGACTCTTGAGTTTTCCGGTTCATCCCCCCTGGTGGGGGACACATCCCTGACCCAACCTGAGGTGGCATATTGGCCATATTAGGGCCATAAGGCCTGTTGCCCATTGACGCATGGGTCATTCTCCCTGGAGGGAGTGTGCCATAAGGTGGGATTCCAGGCTGCCCGTGCATTTGACCTCCGGCACCCATAGGGTTCATACTTCCAGCCATGCCTGCATTGGGGTAGTTGGCATTGGGCAAGGCATTATAGTTAGGCTGCCTAGGGTAGCCTCCTGAGAGGGGAGGGAAAGAGGACACAAGTCTTGGTTAGTAAGCCCTAGTATTTATCAACTCTAAAACTTCAAACAATGAGAATCAATCAATATTTTGGTCATGAAAATAAATAAATGTACTAAGGAGCGGCTGGGGCACGTGAAGGTAGGCATCTGTCACCCAGCCCCATAATCTGGGGGTAGGGTATGCTGGGGACTGAATCTAGGGCTTTGTACATACGAGGTATGTGTTGTGTTATAGTACTGAGCCATACTCTAGCAGGATTGCCCAGCAGAGACAATGCCTGGCTCTGTTACTATCTAGGCCTTTCAGCTTCGAATACAATGTTTTCCTACAGACTTTTCCCCCTCCCCATTTATTTTTTGGGTGTTTGTGTCTATGAATGTAAATGGATTCACAGCTCAGTGCCTTTACCTGATAAGTCATTGTGTTGACTTAGAAATTCAAAAGGTTTTGCGAGGCGGTAGACTTTAGTGAAGACAAGATGGAACCTTGTCCTGCTCTGCTTCAGGGCCTAGGCTGGGTAATGTAAGCCAAGAACAGTCCCACTCTTTCAACCCAGCTGTTTTCTCTCATCTGTTTCCTTCTAACTGGGCACCACACTTACCTTGTGGGCCATACTGACTCCCCTGGGGACCATAGCTCCCCATGGAGTTCTGCTGGTAGGAGCCCATGCCTGTGTGCATCTGTCCTCCAGAAGGCTGTCGTGGAGATAAGGCTGAGCCGGGCTGAGGGGAAGTGTACTGGGGCATCTGTGGGTTCCTCTGCATATAACCTATTTTTGGAAAGTATCTATATAATTATCTGCTCAGCACAATGGAAATATATGCTCTCCCTACTCCACTGGGACTTTTTTTGTGGCATGGAATCTGTCATTTGACTCTTCAAGTATTACATAGTGCATACATATTAATTTTTCTTACGTTCTTTTTGTTTTGACACAGATTTCTTTGTGTAGCCCCTGTTATCCTGGAATTCATTCAGCAGACCAGGCCATTCTTGAACTCAGAGATCTGCCTGCCTCTGCCTCCCCAGTGCTGGGATTAAAGGACTACACCAACACTGCCCTATATCAACTTTCATACTAAATGGAAAATTGAAAGAGCACTGACCAAACAAACAACACAAATGATCCAATGAGTAAAGGAGCTAATGCTGAGTCTTCAGAAAATGCTTACTAAATTAGGCACAATAAAAGGTGCAAGCTACCCAAATGCTGGTTAGCACTGAAGTATGAAGAATGACTGCTGGGGATGCAAACATGGCCAAGTTCACTGGAACCTCACAGTTTGCTGTTGGATTATTTTAAGCCATCTGCATGTGAGTCTCTAAAAGTTATTACACAGGGTACTGAAGTAAATGCTTTAATACCAGGTACATTCAATCTGTAGCCTGTGAGACGGCTATGAATTTGGTCCACATATTTGTAGTTGACAACATGTCATAAAGGCAGTGGTTTGCATGACCTTGCCAGACCTCTGTCCCTACTCTAAGCCAAGTTCTCACCTCGATCTTGGGCAATGCTTGATTGATTCATGGAAGGATGCATGATGCTGTCTGATTGGCCACTGGGTGGCCGAGGTGGCATCTGGTTGCCTGCTCCAAACAAAACAAGCAAAGGTAAGCAAACCGTGGCTCAGCCTGCAAATTCTAGCTAAGAGGTGAATTTGGAGCTGGAAATGGCCCAAAGTTTCCCCACCTCCCATCTTCAAATGCTAGGGGAATCCATGGAGACGAGAACCAATGCTCCCTTGCATCACCACGACCAACCAGTGTTCCCTCTTCCAAAAGACCAGGACTTGAGGATACCTGGCACTGCAGCAGGCGAGAGTGGTCCTGAGCGAGACTGAGCGACACTGGCAGGAGAGCCAACAGGGGATGGGGAGGGGCCTCGGATGCCAGGCAGGTGAGGGGAGGTATGAGGAGAAAAAGGAGACTGCGCTGGATTACTCTGCTCTCCTTGGCTGCTGGAAATCCCTGATGTGCTCACGCCAGGACTCAGAGCTCCTTCTGTCCCCATGGGGAGATCATCTATTGAACCAGATAGATCCTGAAATACATACACAAGGATAGAAATCAGTAAAAGGAGGACAAACACACTACATGCTTGGTCATAACACTAGCATGAATATAGTAAACTTCATTTAGGAATACAAATTTGTGACTTGGTGGGCCTTCTGGACCACAACTATTCAATTCTTCTGAATAAGATGGCACTAATTTGTAATTGTAGCACTCAATAAAGTAACACAGGAGGATCTTAAGTTGAAAGCCAGCCTGGAGTACATAGTAAGACTCTGTCACAGAAGATGCATGCATGCACACCAGCTTGGTCTATACAGTGAGTTCCAAGCCAATTAGGAGACCCTATCTCAAAAACAAAACAAAATACATTTTTACCAGTCAGCTACCTGATACCTAGCCACCACCAACCAAAACCTATCTCAATTCTGCTACTGTAGCACAAGTAGCCACAAACATTAAAAATGTGTATGTGTATCAATAAGCTTTGTTTATAAAAATGGGTAGGTTACAAACTATAGTTTTCTGGTCTATTGTATCCCCGACCAAGATCTTGTAACACAGCTGGTACATGATATTCTTTCTTCTACAATGAGGAGAAAAATGCCTGTTTCAGTGGGATTTAAGTGCTATGCTCCCTCTCACATTATTGTCTTGTTTAAAACTTAATGATTTCCTTTTATTTTTTTTATGTGCATTAATTTTCTGCCTGTATATGTCTGCGTGAGTCTATTGGATATCCCTGGAACTGGAGTTACAGTCAGCTGTGAGCTGCCATGTGGGTGGCAGGAATTGAACCAGGGTCCTCTGGAAGAGTTTTAATCTCAGACTCTCGCCTCCCTCCCATCCCCCCATTACTGTAAACCTCTGATGCCTAAAGACTCTTTCCATGCAAACCCCTGTAAGATATGGTGAAGCAGGTAAGAAAGGGATATGGGAGAATCTCTTAAATGCCAAGAAGGTCTGGCAGTAATGTTTCCAACTCCTGATCTGCAATAGGGATGGACAACAAACTCAATGTTCCATTCTAGGTACCAATGTTCCCTCATGTACTACAGTCCTTACTCCTTTTAACACTGCCAGTTTCTGAGATGACTTCATTGCTTACTAGAAGACCAAATTAGTATAATTTGCCAGATAGTAAGAATCAAATACCAATTTTATTTCTTCTTTCTTATTTCAAATACCAAATTTATTTCTACAGTAGAGACAGTCTCTACTGTAGCCCAGGTTGGCCTTGAATTCACTATGTAACTGATGATGAATGTGAATTTTACCTCCCATGTCCATGTTGCAGTACTGCAGGTATGCACCAGCAGAGTTGACTTTTAAGACCCACACTTTTGCATGTATTCTTGTGCTTGTGCATTCTGATATGGTGTGTGTACTTGCACATGTGGACACCAGTGGTCAATCTCAGGTACTGTCCTCAAGAGTTATATACCTCTCTCCCCCTCCCTCTGTCTATCTGTCTCTCAAAGATAGAGTCTTCAAATGCAACTGGAACTGAGTAAGAAGACTAAGATTGCTAGCAAGCAAGCCTCAGGGATCCATCTGTGTCTGCCTCTCTGGCACCAGTATTACAAAAGTGTGTAGACCACCATGCCTCATTTTTTTTATTTTTGAGACAGGGTTTTCCTGTGTAGCAATGGCTGTCCTTGAACTCAGAGTCACCTGCCTCTACCTCTGAGTGCTGGGATTAAAGGTGTGTGCCACCACTGCCTGGAATGCCTGGCTCTTTTTGACATGGGTTCTAAAGATCAGACTCTCTGCCAAGGTATGTACTTTTCAACTGAGCTCTCTCTCTAGCCCCCAAAGCCTGAATCTGCTTCTGTTCAAATGGCTTTGAAACATTAAGTGTTCTTTTTGGACTGCTTGTATTTACCTAAGTAAAATACAAACATTACCTCAGCAAACACATTTCAGAGAATGCCCAAGGCCCTATTGGATATCTTTTTGCTGCCTTCAATAGCAGGTGGTCCATGTCCTTAAGAGATTTTAGGAAAAAGTGAGAAAGTAGACAGATGCCCTTTCGTTATAGCAGAGCCCACCACACATCTATTAGGTAATTGCTCAGTGTTGGCTGAGTAAGCCCAGAAGCAGCCTTTGACTGAGGCCTCAGGATCTATGAATGGCAAAGAGTAGACTTCCTTAATAAAGACAATCTGAAGAGAGCTGTCAGTTTTGATAAAATGACTTAAGTCTCTTAAAGAAAAAGTTAAATAAGCTACTGTCAACAATAGCCCCATGACAGATAGGATGCCCAAGCACAGAAATGTACCAGGAAAGGGCCAGCATTAATATCATCTCTCTCTTGATTGGTTTGAAACCAACTTAACAAACTGTTGTATTTTTGTTAGGTGGTGACTGGTTAACACAGGAATATGGTTTGAAATGATTTGAAGAAGCACAACATTTAAGAATTGGAATGCGGGGCTGGAGAGATGGCTCAGAGGTTAAGAGCACTGACTGCTCTTCCAGAGGTCCTGAGTTCAATTCCCAGCAACCACATGGTGGCTCACAACCATCTGTAATGAGATCTGGTGCCCTCTTCTAGTGTGCAGATATACATGGAAGCAGAATGTTGTATACATAATAAATAAAATCTTTAAAAAAAAAAAAAAAGAATTGGAATGGACAAGAGACCCAATATTAACAACAGCTACTAGCTAGGTTGTGGTGGCACATGCCTTTAATCCCAGCACTTGGGAGCCAGAGGCCAGCCTGGTCTACAGAATGAGTTCCAGGACAGGCTCCAAAGCTAAAGAGAACCCCTGTCTTAGAAAACAAAAATAAACAACAGCAAAAAATCCCCCCCCCAAAAAACTAACAGCTACTATTTGACCAAGTGTTATGTGCAAGGTACTCTGTTGGGGGTATATAGCCCAAGTTAGTCTTAAAATTTTATATCGATGGCTGACCTTGAACTTTCAAACCTCCTGGTTCTCAAGTGCTAGGTTTACAGAGGTGAGTCACTGTCCTTGGGGCTTGCTGTGTCCTCTTCCTTTCCTTTCCTCTCAACCACTAGCCCCCAGGGTTTCTCTGTGTAGCTTTGGAGTCTGGTCCTGGAACTCATTCTGTAGACCAGCCTGGCCTCAAACTCACAGAGATCCCCAGGCCTCCATCCCTGAATGCTGGGATTTAAGGCTTGTGCCACCACCACCTTTCTCTTTCTCTCTTTTGAGATAGGGTTTCACGCATTTCAGGTTGGACTCAAACTGAGGGTGACCTTAAATTTCTGATCCCCCCCAACTCCATCTTCCAAGTGCTAGGATTACAAATGCCAGGCAGTGGTGGCAAACGCCTTTAAACCCACTAGTGAGGGAGAGGCAGGTGGATCTCTCTTCAGGCTGGTCTCAAACTCACAGAGAAACTCTATCTCAAAAAAAAAAAAAAAAATCAAAAAAAAAACAAAGAACAAACAAATAAACAAAAAAAAGGCCAGGCTCAGTCTGGTATTTTCTATTTTTTACAACTCTTGGTTGTACATACTACCACCGCTATCATTTTGAAGGAAGCTGATGCTTACAAAGAGACTGAGTTACATGCCCAAGTCATCTGGCAACTAAGTGGTAGTTTGAACCCCAGGCAGAAGCCTGTGTCTATTTTCATTCATTCTCTTCTCCATTATGCTCTAATACTGTAGGAACTGAAGGAAAAACATGCTACATTCTTGAGTCGAGAAGACAAAGTTCAGCTTTAGGTGATTATTAGTTGTGATTTGGGGCAGTCTTACAAATAAGCTGGGCTTTAGTTTTCGTGCTTATATAGTAACAGAGCTGGACCAATCGGAGTTTGTGATACTGGTGGGGCATGCTCACAAAACTTACTATCACAATACAGTTAGGACCAAAAGATCATCCACAACATTCTAGAATAAGAATGGCAGCTGAGGAGTCAGCACAATGAGTAAGGTAAGGACTTAGCTGGGAATGGCCTCAAACACCTGTATTCCAAGCCCTGGGGAACAAAGGCAGGATTGCTGGAGCTTAATGGCCAGCCAGCACAGCAACAGCAAATGGCAAGGCAAGCTCTTGGTCCAATGAGAAACACTCTCAAAAGCATAAGTGATAGAACAGGGCACTCAATGTCCTCCTTTGGCTTCCACAGCTACACACACAAACCCCACTCACAAACACTCACCATACAATAACGTTTTTTTTTTTTTCAATAAAAAAGAGAAAAGAAGCATACAATATGTAAACAGCAGGCAATGTTGGACATATTCATTAGTTCCAGAGGTTAATTACATGGTAAATGTGTGTTTTTTTTTTTTTAAATTAGAAATAAGAGTTTGAATCTCCAAAAGCTGCCTCTCAAACCACCCATTGTAGGGACAGATACTATCCTGATCTCATGACCATTTATTGCTTGGGACACACCTCTGCTTTCTACTCTACAAAAAAAAGGCCAGTTTTTCAGGTCTTGTTTCAAAAGAGCTGATGTCTGGTTGTTGAGTCAGACCTCCAGTGTGCCTAACAAGTCAAATCTCTACAACAGACTTATAAAGATACAGTTTCCTCAATCTAAGCCCCTATTTTCCCCAGTAGGGGCTGTCTTTGGCATTTCAGAACCCCATGTTCTTAAAATGCTACCAAAAGGACCCATCTAATAAGTATTTCTTGGGAGAGGAGAGGTTGCCAAGAGAACTGCAGCAATGCCTCTTTAGAAGGCTTTTTCCCTGGGCTTGCTCTTCTCCCAGGATAAGCCTGCTGAGAGATGGGAGGCGAGGATCAGCCCACTCAGTGCCCTTGCCAGTTCCAAGGAAGCAGCAGGGCCAGAAGAATTTCCTCACGTGTTTCCAACGTGTTTCATGAATTTTATTGCTCATCTACCATGCAGATCAAAAGCGCTGGAGCGGGGCCAACTATTTCACACAGAATCTCACACTCCAGGCTGGCTACAGCCCCAAAAGCCTTCATTTCTTCACTTGAAATACTGCCCAATGTTATTTTGGGATGTGACCTGATAGAGGAAGCCCATAGGGACTCCATGACGATAACTGTTCCAGCTGTGATTGGTTGCCCA